CCTCAACCCTAAACCCCTAAACCCAGAGCATGGGAGGCCTCCAGTTCCGATAGCAGCCCAGCAAACTCTGTCGATCGGGCCGTCCATGAGTTCTGGCGCGACTTCTGCGAGCCTGGGCAGGGAAAGTGCAGGAATAGGGTTTAGGGTCTAGGGTGTAGGATTTCACAGGGCTTGATGTGGTCTTCATAGCTCTGAAGTGTAGGGTTCTCGTAGGGTTTCTTAGGGATTTTGCAATGACATAGCAGCTTTATCCCTAAACCCGAAACCCTAAGCCCTAAACCACAACCTGTGCTGAAGGGCCCTACATTTAGTACATCAGTGGGGGTAATTAGTTTAAGCATGTTTTATCGGGTTTAGGTCGGCCCTGTGCCAAGAAGCGCGGGTGGCTTCGGCAGCACACTCAGACGTCCGCGGGGGCGGCCGTGCCCCCTTAGAAGAACAAGGGGAAGGCGCAGCAGGCGGCCGGAGGGATCGGACGCTGGCCACGCGATCCGAGACCTCCGACGCACTGGCAGAAGCAGTACTGTCCGGAGCTTATAGCCTGTCATGTTGAAGGTCGCATGCACATTGAACCCCCAGAAGATGGACGCGCTCGGCGACCAGCTCACCGTGGTGCAGCGCCGCATCGACAAGGCAACATGCGACAGAAGATGGAGAGAAGGAGGGGTAGGATCGAAGAGGAGAGATGGCAAGGGTGAGTCGGCACGTGACGCAGGTACCGCCGCTGACCAGGGGGAGGTGGTCCTGACGGAGGCAGCAGCGGAAAGTGAAGCAGGGTTTGCTGTTGTTGCCGGGCAGAATTTGAAGGCCATGCAACAAAAGATGGCCGTGTGTGTTTCACAGCGCACCGGCCTCTTGAAGACTTACCGAATGTGGCGGTCCAAGGGCGCGGCGCTGAATTCGTGCCGTACCACAAGCTGCACTGGGTTGCACGCAAACTCGCGCGGCTCACGAAGAAGGAGCGAGCGCGGCTGCACGTCTCCAAGGGTGGTCGGATGAAGAGGGGGCCTCCTTTCCCTCGCAACAAAGGAAGTCGGACACCATCATCACACCCGCCGAGTTTTTGGAAAAGCAGGGGGCTCGGTTTTGATATCGTTTATGCTTGCACTTCCAGGTCTCCTGCACCCAATTCCCGAAGTGGATGACGGAAACGTCGTCCCACCTACCTGAGTCACCTGGCTCCAAGCATGCCCGTGTGGACCCATCTTGGCGTGGGTATGTATGACTATACCCAAATGTCCTGAGGCCTAGCAAGTCGAAGAGCAAGCGTCGTGGGGGCAATTGCCGTAAACTCAGATGCTGAACGTGCGTCGGACCTTGTAATGCAAGCATTGCGCTACGCAGGGTACATCAATCCGCAGGGCCACTGTAAGAGGAGTGTCCCTTGTACAAAGAAGCCGCCACCAGTTCGGCGAAGGCTCCGAGGAGTTTTGCCGGTTTCTGCTCAAGGAAGGGCCGCTTCATCCGAACAGTCGCTTCGCGACAATGAACGTGCTCTTCCGAGAGTATCCGCAGGGCGAGATACCCGACCCCGTGCCCTTGCCGCCCCTATAGCGACAAGGGTGCGGAAGAATGTTTGTGGTCGGAAGACATTGTGCTGCTTTAAGAGTTGCGGCAGCATGGGCGGTCGCCGTTGTGCGCGGCAATTTGAAGGATGGTGAGCTGGAACTGGAGCGTCGCAAGGACCTGCGGCCCGGTTTCATTGGCCCGGTGGATTCGCCCGAATTGCGGGAGCGCCGGCGCCAAGGAGAGATGCGCGACAGTTTTGCAGGATCATGTTACAGGGCCTTCCTGGGACGTCTCGGCGAATCCCAAGATCCAAGGGTCTAGGTCTTGGGGTTTTGGGTTTTTTGGGGTCTAGGTCTTAGGGCTAAGGGGTTTTAGGGTTCAGGTTTTGATGGTTTAGGGGGTTTAAGGTTTAGTCTAGGTTTGGGGTTTAGGTTTTGGGGTTTAGGGTTCAGGATTTTGGGAATTTGGGGTGTAGGGGTTTTAGGATTCAGGGTTTAGGGTTTTGGGAATTAGGAATTTAGGGGCATTAGGGTTCAGGACTTTGGGAATTTGGGGCTTAGTTGTTTTAGTGCATTTAGGGCCCTGGGAATTGGCTGGGAATTTGGGGTTGTGGGGCTTTGGGGTCTGGGGTTTAGGGCAAACCACCTAAAGTTATTGAGGGAGTCTTGCGAAGGACTTGCAGCGTTTATATTTTTAGCAGTATGCTCCACTTTTTGTAACAGGAGACAGGGGTTTAAGGCTTTCGGGGTTTAGGGTGGGGTGTTGGGGTGTTGTGCAGCCCTTCGGCCAGGATGTGTGAGAGGTTTCGGGCTCCGGGCTCTTCCAGATCAAGGGAATATGGTTTACGCTTTTGCAAGTTTGCAAATTCAAGTCTCGCATCATCCTGAAATGTGTGGCAGGGTCTCTTGTTTTACGGAGATTCCGTGCTTGAAATCTCCGACGCGCTAACACCGAAAGCTCATGCCGGAACCCGAAGCCCTAAACCCGAATATAGAAGCCTGAGCAAGTGGGTAGTTCTCTAAAATTGGGCCCCTTTTGGGAGCCCAAAATAAGGTTGCACCCAAATGAAAAGGACCCTACATTACTAGAATGCTAAATTCAGAAAAACTACGCAACTATTCCTACTGGGAACTTAGGGGTCTAGTTTAGGGAACTCGGACCTTGCACTCCCGAAGCCCTCGCGGTCTTAGGGAGACTGGCCAAGCCTGACCCGAAACCCTAAACCCTAAACTGTGATTTTGGGCTCCTGTATGGTAGAACCATAATTAGGAACCCTAAGGATGCAAATTGGTACTTGGCCAAAAATAAATCCCTAGAGTTCCTTATATTATGTTTATGTTCAGGGGTTTAGGGTTTAGGGTAGAGGGGTTCAGAACCCTATTCTGACTACTAGGGTGCCTGTATTTGGCAGGGCGGGGTCTTATTGGAAGGGCCTACCCAGATCCGAATAGTCAGTTCAGGGGTGTACGGGTTTTGGATTTAGGGTTTAGAGGTCTAGGGTTTAGGGCTTCAGAGTTTAGTGTTTAGGGTAAATCACCTGTGTCCGGAGTGATGAAGGTCGAGTCGGATTTACCACCTGGCTTCCTTGCAGATGCTGCATCACCGTCTTGCACTGCCGCGGACCTGAAAGGGGCAGTGGGGTTTAGGCGCAAGTTTAGGGATTCGAGCTTCACCGTGAGGGTTTGATGGGGAATTGCATTGCTGTAAGGTGCCGAGATATTCGAGCTATGGTGTCTGCTGTTCTTGGCACAAAATCCTGCCTCAAAAGGTCCTCATACGTGCTGGAGGTAAACTCGGGGGGGGGGTCTAGGTGCCTCCCATAGCAGCTGCATAAGCAACCGTTATTTCTTGTGGAAATGAAGCTATGACCCCCCTATACAACCCAGACCCCCAAAAGGATCTAAAAAATAGATCCCCTAATTAGGGACCCCAACTACTAAAGGGTACTTTATAGGAACCCTTTTAGGGGATCTATTTTTTAGATCCTTTTGGGGGTCTGGGAAATTCAATTTGTTCAGCCTTCTTTGGGCCGGTGAACTGGGCAACGAAGCTTCAGGAGTAGGGATCTTGGGATCACAGAGAACCCTGGTTGAACCCCTAAACCCTAAACACCTGAACCCCTAAACCCCTAAATCCCTAAGCGCTAAACTCTAAACCCCTAAACCCTAAACCTCCAAACCCTAGGCCGGTTTTCCTCGCGGCCCTATAACCCCCCATCCCCTAAGCTCCCCAGCCCCTCAGCCCTCCATTCGCAATATCGAAGCTAGGTTGGCTTTTGTGACATTTTTTATTTTCCGTATTTGGGTTTTTTAAGGGACACTACGTATAAATATTTTTTCAGAGGGTTTAATGGCCAACCGAGGAGGCCGCAGATCCTTCGCCCCAAACCGTGGTTAATGAGGGTTTAGGGTTTAAGGGTTTACGGTTTAATTGTTTAAAGTTTAAGGTATGATGGTTATGACTCTATGCAATGAGGGGGCAGACACGAATCTAACTCATGAGAAGGATCGTGGTCCTCCTTAAGAGGATGACTGTGCAACTTGGCAACCCTTTGTATCATACCGTCGGGAACTGATGAAGACACCACCATTGTTTCATATTGGTGTTGTTACCTTTGGGTCTTACTCTTCTGTATTGTATTGTTTTGAAGGTTAGAAACAGGTATCTGTCTAGCGCTTCTGTATCACTCCAACCCAGAGACTCCAAAACCCCTTAATTAAGGAATATACCGTAAACTCTAATAGGAATCCGAATATGATTTAAGGTATATTCCTTAATTAAGGGGTTTTGGAGTCTCTGGGAATCAAATCCCAAGCAAGCCCTTGAAATACGATTCCCGAGAGGACTGGCAAAAGGCTGCGCGGCGGACCTCCTCAATGTCTTTAGAGGCTGCGGGCCCCAACCCTACGACTTGGACTTAAACACCCCTGAGCAAGACCGAAGCCCCAAACCCTAGACCCTAAAACCCCAAACCCCAAACACCTATCTCCGAAGCCCCAAAGCCTAAACCCCAAGCCCCAAAGCCTAAACAACCTTGGACAGCCCTAAGCCAAGCCCTAAACAAGACATAACAAGACCACTGACACGTGGGTAGTTCCCTAAAGTGAGTTCCTTCTAGATGTTGTTTAAAAGGTGCCGCCTTCTTTCGGGTTCCTAAACAAGGACCCTAGTTTAGGGTTTAGGGCCGTTTAGGGTAGAGAGCTACCCACATTCACCGCCCAGGCATTAAACACACAAGCTTGTACATCGAAGATCGCGAGCCTTCGGGCTTGGGGGGGGCTATCTAAGAGTTATAGGGCTTAGGGTTTTGGAGTTTGGGCTTCAGGGTTTAGCGTTGAGAGCCTCGGGTAATTATAAGGTTTAGAGTTGACTGACCCGAGGTGTGTGCATTTGTGGCATAACGCATCGATCCCAGTTCACTTCGTAAGAAGCGTAGGTACCGCAGAACAAAATAAGAATCTGCAGATGGCTTCCCAGATTCCCAGATACCCTATACCCGTTCATCAGGCAACGTATCTGAAGCCACATGCAGTCACAAATAAGACGCCCCCCACGCAGTTGCACGTGTCTTGCTCAATTAAGGGGTAACTCTGTGTCTGTGTGTGTGTGTGTTTGCGAGCCTCAGATGTTTCGAGCTAGCTGAGAGCATTCTTGTTGTTGACACCCTGTGGCGGGGTTCAGGATTTCGGGACGAAGCTGCCCAGTAACTGCCAGAAAGCTGGAAGCTCATTAGAATGCCTTAGTCAGCCCCAAAGGCATGCTTCAACTGTCTGACTTTTGCTGAGAAGTCCTACGGGAACCCTAAACCCTAAAGAAGATCGGCCGTACAGTAGCAGCAGCTTGTCCCTGGAGTTCAGGGTGACAACCGAACGGCTGCATTATAACCTCAAGGGACCCTATATTAAGCTTTTCAGTCACCCAGGCACCAACATCCGAAATGCTGACATAAGCATCATACAGAACCCTATAGCCGTTTGCCAAAAGATGCAAAGAGTTTTCTCGAATCTCTGCAAGCCCCAACACCCCCACACACTGAACCCTAAACCCCAAACCTTACACAAGCCCCAAGATCCCTAAACCCTAAACCCTAAAAGTCCCAAACCCCAAACCCGAAAAATCCGTAAACCCTAAACCACTCCTAAACCCTAACTCTTTAACCCTAAACCCCTAAACGAAAAGTCTGAAAACCCAAACCCCTAAACCAAAATACGGCCCCAGGGCATCGCTCAACCGCCGGGTTTGGACCCACGTCGCGCCTGGAGCCACGAACTGCCGGTGCAGCACCGGCGGCGGAAAGCCTCCATGGCCAAGGATCGGGTTCATGGGTTTGGACTTTAGGGTTCAGGGTTTGGGGGGTTAGAGATTTAGGGCTTGAAGATTAAAGAGGATTGTGTCAAGGCTATTGGTTTTGGGGAGGTGAAGCTTTGGGCTTTAAGGTCTGGGGTTTAGTGCTTCGTTTTGAGGGTTTTTTGTTTATAGCGGTAGAGTTCCCTAAGCCCGACATGGGCTTTGGGAGCAAAGTTTGGAAAAGCTCCCCGCTTGTGGGGTTTCAAGGATTGTGGAGTTTCGGGCTTAGGGTTTAGGGTTTAGGGTTTAGGTTTAGGGCTTAGGGTTTAGGGTGGTGATCCGAGACCATCTACCCAGACCTCCGGAAGCATCCGACAAGTAGCCTGAAAGGTGGAAGCCCCATCCGTCTCATATGGCGATGGCGTATTGTACCGGGCCAAAACAATCTCCCAAGAGATGAGTGCAGCTATTCTGTCCAGAAGAAGGGCCGGGAGTGCAGCAAATGCCATGGTAAAATGAATAATATAGGGGCCTTCACAATTAGAATGGGGTTTTGGGGCCCAGTTTTCTATAAGCATAATAAGGAACCCACCAAAATAGTATAAACCCTAAACCCTAAACCCTGAACCCTACATGACTGCAGTGTGCTACTTATCAGGTCCCCGAGGTTGGCGTCTGCACAACACTTTAAGAAGCAAAGCCTCGCCAAAGACCCTAGCAGGACCTTGGTTTATTGGTTTTAGGGTTTAGGGTTTAGGGATTAGAGGTTTAGGGGTTCAGGTTAGGGTTTAGGGATTAGAGGTTTAGGGGTTCAGGGTTTAGGGTTCAGGTTGAGGGTTTAGGGTCTCGGAGTTGTGCGATCCGAGGCACCTCCATCTCACCATCTAACCCTAAGCTTACCAAAGACCCTGCACCCCACTCCACACCGCCCAGGAACACAACG